TTATTTATTTGTTGGGCCTGGGATGTAGCTCAGCAGCACTCCATCTGCCTGGCAAGCTCAAGGTCCTGAGTTTGATTCCTGGTACTGGGAGGAGATATATATATTTGTTAAATATGAAAAGAAAAATGGAACCACAAAAAGCACAAGAAGGAACAAGTTACCTCTAATCCAGTTATCCATACTATTTCATTTATCAGTGTATATCCTTTAGTGAGTATGTATGTGGTGGTTTATGTGTGTACACAGGCTTTTATTTTCTGTTTCCTTTTCCTTCTATCTTTCTTTTTTTTCTGAGACAAGGTCTCATTATGTGGTCCAGAATGGCCATGAACTCACTTTGTGCTTCGAACTTGAGACCCTCCTGCCTCAGGCCCCTGTGTGCTGGGATCATGCCCAGTTTCTCTTAAAAAAAAAACAAGGTCCTGGTATACATTTTTGTAATATGCTTTTTTCAGTTTACTGTATCGAACATTTCCCACTGTCTTCTTTTATAACATCATTAACATTTTCAATTAAATTTATTATTTTTTGTAATTGCTTAAATATTAACATGGTTCAAAATACAAAAGATTATATAGTTGTTATGTAGAGGAAAGTCTTACTCTTATACAACTTATACACCAAACCAAAAACCTTACCCTTATACAATCACAGTACTTGTCTCAGTTTCTTTTTTTTTTGGTACTGGGGATTGAACTTGGGTCCTTGCGCTTGCGCAGCAGGCGGCGAGACCACTGAGCTAAATCACCGTCCCGTCCCAGTTTCTAATGTATTTTTGGAGAGATACACTATGCATGCACAAACAAATGTGTGTGGATATGTAATTTCCCTTTATCCTTGGTTTGTTACATGCATGGGAGTGTAGCATGAACATCATTTTGTACCTTGCTTTTTTGGTTAGCAGTTCTTGACAACTTCTAAATTCTATTTTAAAGAGCTTCCTTGGTCCTTTTTTGATTTTTGATAGCATAGTATTCTATTGAATGAATATATTATAATCCTTTTTAATGGCTATTTAGGATATTTCATTTATAGTATTTAAATTTTTTAATTGTTAAAGATTGAATATACTCAAGGTACAACATGATGATTTGCTATATGCATACATTATGTAATGATTACCATAACCAAATTAATTTGCTTATCTATGACCACCCATGCTGCACATTAGATTTCTAGAACTTGTTCATTTTCTAACTGAAAGTTGGTATCCTTTGACTATTTCTCCTACTCCCTTACAACATTTTTAATGATTTTATGGTATTCTTGTTTTGAAGGTCTAAACTGTTATTATTAGTAATAATAATATCCTTTTCTTGAGCATTTAAAATTATTTCTAATTTCTAGTTATTATGATGTTATAAATATTAGATGTTATTTAATAGTATTTTTGCATATCTTATGCATATCATTCATTTCCTTGAGATCTCGAGATATCAAGGGTATTTTAGAAGGGGAATGTATTGGGTCAAAGGAAAGCAGAATGCTTGTGTTGAAAAGGACATTTTGAACCTTGCTGTTTTTACTGAAGATACCTAGTTAAGTCTGAACTTTCAGGTGTTCCTTACTGCTGCAACATTTTATTTTATTTTATTTTTGGGAGGGGGTAACATAGCCTCTCACCATGTATTCCAAGATGGCTTTGAACTTGCTATGTAGCCCAGGCTGGTCTTGAATTTGGGGTGATCCTCCTGCCTCAGCCTCTTGAGTGCTGGGATTGCAGGAGTGGTGGGTTGCTGTAGCATTTCTGCTTTGGTGGTTATGTTACTAAGGAGAAGATATGACATGTATACTGAATATGGATCACATTTTTTTTACAATACCTTGGCACATAGTATTTTTTAAACTTTTTGAAGTAGTAGAATCTTTTTGAGACAGGGTTGTGCTACATTGTTCAGGGTGGTCTTGAACTCGGGCTTAAGTGGTCCTCCTGCCTGAGCTTCACATTTTGGGGCTACAAGCATGTGCCACTGCATCCAGCTTAAGTTGTAGAATCTTTATATCAGAAATAATAATGACCTTTAAACAATTGGTATAGTTTTAAAAATTTATATCTGAATGTCGTGTTCATGCTTCCTTTATGACATAGCCTTGTTCAGATTGAATTACTTGCTACCTCTGTATTATGTAAAGAAAGAACACATAAAATCTTTATTTTTATAATTTTTTTGTATTTGCAAAGTAAACAATGCTTAATGTTCTATGTGTTTCTGAGTAAGATGTCAACAGTGCATTTACCGTCCTGCTTATATTGTGTGCTAGGCAGAGGCATCACAATGAGAGATCAGGATGTAGTATTATGTGCCATTGCAGCCCCATGATTCCTGTGTTGTAGGTATTAATATTTTTATTTGTTTTTCCATACAGGTGACTCTGCCTCTGGGCAGAGGGCTATCTATCACAGTTTGGGACTGACTGGAATTCCTATAATCAATGTCAACAATAACTGTTCTACTGGTTCTACTGCTTTGTTTATGGCCCGGCAACTGATTCAGGGTGGTGAGGAATGCTCATTTGTCTAGTGTACTCAAATAAATGCGAGGTTTTTGCTGCTTTTCATCATTTCTTCACAGTATCCTTAGAGGGATTGGTTTATAATGTATTTCTTTAAAAAAAAGTGCTTTACTTTTAGCTGGATGTGATGGTGCATGCTTGTAATCCCAGCACTCTGGGAGGCTGAGGCAGGAGTATCTCACATTCAAGCCCAGCCTGGGCAACAACTTAGTGAGATGTTGTCTTAAATAAATAAATAAATAGGTAGATAGATGGATGGGTGGGGATGTCCCTCAGTGCATAGGCCCTGGGTTTAATTAATCCTCAGTACCTCAGGGTGGGAAACAAAGGTTTATTGAGATATAATTCACATACCATAAAATTCATTTTTGGGGGCATACAATTTAGTATTTTTTAATTATGGTCACAGAATCATGCAACTATCACCACTGTCTAATTACAGAAGATTTTTCTCACCCACAAAAAATCCCTGTGCCTACCAGCAGTCATTACTCTTCCCCCGCACCCAGACCCTTGCTGCCACTAATCTTTCCGTTTCTGTGAATTTATCTATTCTGAATATTTATATGAACAGAAACTTATAATACATGGCCTTTTGTGGCTTCTTTCACTTAGCGTGTTTTATTTTTTCATCATATGGTATCATTTATCAGCATTTTACTCCTTTTTATGACCAAATATTCCACTGTATAGCTGTACTGTGTTACCTATCTGTTCATCATTGGTGAACATTGTTGTTTCTGTGGGGTTTTTTTTTTTGCTACTATAAATAATGCTGTGATGAACTTTCCTGTACAGTATTTTTGAGGCCATGTTTTCAGTTCTTTCCGATCTGTGCCATACTCTTAAGTTTTGAATATTCTAAGGTCTTTTATTAGGCCTTCTGTTCTGTTTCAGTGATTTCATCATTGATTACAACTCCACATCTTAATGTTTTAAATCTTGGAGTTTTGAAATCTGAACTGTATGACAAAGCTAGTGCCCCTCCTTTTCCTTCATTATTTTTCCTTTCATTTTTTAAAGAAAAATTTTGGTGAGTTTGTCATGTTTTGCTCTTCAGTTGAACTTTAGCATCACTTGTAGATGCTCCCTTCCTCCAAAAACAATTGTTGAGATTTTGATTGGAATCTTTAAAATTTTTTAAATAACTTTTAAAATAACAAAAATTTTTAAATGTTTTAAAATTCACAACTTGCTTCTTTTTTTTTTGGTACCAGGGATTGAACTTGGAACCTTGTGCTTGCTAGGCAGGTGGCAGCACCACTGAGTTAAATCCACCCCCCTCCCCCTGGTCCGCACAACTTGCTTTTTATAGTTTTTTTTTTTTTTTTTTTTTGGTACCGGGGATCGAACTCAGGACCTTGAGCTTGTGAGGCAGGCGCCGGAACCACTGAGCTAAATCCCCAGCCCTATAGTTGTCTTTCTAAAACATATTCCACATTAATGAAAAATTTTATTAGGATATTAAGAATTAAGGGAAGAATTAAGCACCTTGATTTTTCCTCTTATTTAGAAGCATGTAAGAATTTCTCTGTACTTTTCATTGAGAATTTTATAGAATTATGAAATTCTTTTGCATTTTATGGAAATTGACATATTTATTATTATTATTATTTTTTTGGTACCGGGGATTGAACTCGGAACCTTGCGCTTGCGAGGCAGGCACCTGAACCACTGAGCTAAATCCCCAGCCCAACATACTTATTTTTTTATTGGTACATTTTAGATATACATAATGATAACATTCATCATAAGGAATTTGTACTTGTACACGGCATATTTAAATTTACTTAAATTTGAAATTTATTTAAATTGGAATATTTATAGTATTTTGTTGGATGTCTGGGAATTTGAATTTTCCAAAGAATTATATTTTCCTTTAAGGTTTGGCAGATTGTACTTTGGCTCTTGGGTTTGAGAAGATGGAGAAGGGATCCCTTGCATCAAAAGTAAGTCTCATTTATTGTTATTTTATAATTATTATATTACTATGAGAAAACTTTGCCCATCTGATTATCATAAATAGAGTCTGTTAGTGAGCACAGTAAAACATAATTTAGCATAGTTATTTAATAAGATGATTTAACCAAAAGGTGAAAGGTGATACCATATATGTACCCTTACATCTGGTATTTCAGAATAGTAAAGAATCTTAGAGATTTTAAATTCAAAGTCTTGGTACTGGAGATTTGAACCCAGTACCAAGATACATATTCACACTGAGCTACATCCCCAGCCCATTTTTTATTTTTAATTTTGAGACAGAGTCTTGCTAAGTCTCTAAATTGCCCAGGCTGGTCTCAAACTTGTGATTCTCCTATTTCACCCTCCCAGAGTATTTGGGATTATTATATACTGATGCCACCACAACTGGCCAGTTGAAACTCTTTATTTTACCAATGATAAAAGAGGTTAAATGGTGGAATTTGAGTTTGTTAACTCATCTGTTTAATTTGAAAGTCACTCATTCCACAGACTGGAAAGGGTTAATACCACCAGTTCTGGTAATGGTAAGCCACATTATTTGAGTTAGTTCTTCCACTAATGGCAAGTAAAATATTTGGATAGAATATGAAAAAGTCCTAAAGGCATTGAAGAATGACAAGAGAGCAGAACTACATGTGGATGCCAGAGAATTAACATCAGCATTTGAAGCTTTTCTTGCTTCCAAGGCCTTTTTGTCAAAGCCAGTTTTATAGCTGGCTGGAATGAAGCAGAAATAGTCAAAGTTTAGGCCTTCTATCAGTTTTATACCCATTCCTGACATTAAGCTGGGTCTCTGCATATAGGGGTAAACCTTTTGGATAAGGATGAACTTGAAGTACAACTATCTACTTTTGTGAGGTTACAGGGATAATTTGTACTGAGCAGTACTTAATAATTAGTACTGAGCAGAACCTAGGTAGATTTAGGACCCAGATGACCCATCAAGGCAGAAGGATTTACTGTATTAGCACAACAGCGTGTGAGGGTGCTGATATCTCTACTTTAGTCTACCTATGAGAGGCAGGGTGCCAGTTTGTAGCCCCAGGCATCATGGCAAATTTTTAGAAAAGGCACATTATGGGAGTATGTAATGCCCACATTTATTTTTTAGAAGAATTTCTATTGATGAATTATTTTTAATTTTATGAGTTTTATTATATTAAACAATGTGTACTTAATAGGAAAATAAAATATTAAAATTTTAATGTGTATTGAGTGTGTAGAATAACATCAACATTTTCAACATCAACTGTTTACCTGCTTACAAGATCTAAAAAATAACAGCAAAAATTAATTCCTATATGAACTACAACGAAAATACAAACACAACTCTACCACAGAAATAATCTTGCTTCAGTTATCAAATCTGATTTAGTCTTCACACATGACAGCAGCATGTTCCATACACAAGTCTTGCTTACACTGACAGCGTTTGTGTTTTGTTTTCCTGTCTTCTTCGGTAGGACAAACTTGACATCTTGCCAATCTTTTTTTCTTAAAAGGTTCTTGTGATGTTTCTACCTGTTTGTTCACTGGTCTGCTCCAGAATTCTTTTGAGGAGTTCTTTGGGCAGATACATATTGTTCTTCCTCTGTTTCAATCACTCATTTATCAATCCTCTGAGAAAATTTCTCCATGATATTTTGTGCTTGTTATGTTCTTTGTAAACTGTGAAACTATTTATGCTTCACATATTTAGGATCAAGTAAAACACAACCATTGACCAATGCTTTGTGTTTCAGGTGACATCATAATTGCTGCATAACTCATCAAAATCTACTCTGCCTTTCATTTTGTTTCAAGTGGTCACATTTCAAATGTGACGATTTCTGGCTTCATTTGTGTTGAGGATTCACTCTCAGTTTTTGTTTGTTTTGAGGCAGGGTCTTGCTATGTAGTCCAGGCTAGCCTTGAACTCACTATGTACCACAGGCTGACTTTGAACTCACAGGATCCTCCTGGCTAGGCCTCCTGAGTTCTGGGATTACAGGAATGTAACACCATGCCCAGCCTCACTATCAATCTTAACATCATGGTGTAATGTTGACAGTACCAATACCACTCTGTTTTTCTTTGCCATATCGGAGGCCAATGTTAAAAATTTCTGAAATCCAAAGATTGTACTGTTTTGAAGTTGCAACACTTTTTTCAGGAATCTTGTCTTTGTTCTTGTAAATAGTTCCTGTGCTGGTCAACTGGTGTTCTTTTTTTTTTCTACTGGTGTTCTTTTAACAAATGTAACATCAGTGGGTAACTAGTGAACCAATTGTCAAACGTGACATTTGGGTTACTTTTTAAAATAGATAAACAAGTCTAATCACAGTGTCATACAGTACAGTACTGCATGGAGAAAGACCTGGAGGCTGTGTTCCAGGATAAATTTCTAAATTCTTTTCAATGTCTTTTCTAAAAAAAATGTTTTTGCATCTACCAGGGCATGTATTTCAGTACCGTATTTGGAAAGTTTACTTGGCATGTATTGCTGAAGGCTTCAACAACCATGAAATGATATGTTTGTTTGTCCATTATCATGTATTTGGACAATGTATAAATTACTTGACAGTTCAAAACAAGCTTTCAACAAATAAGTGAGTAGAGCCAAATTGTAGGATTTTTTTCTTTCTTGGGAGGTCTTTTTGTCATTAAAACATAGGCAGTTTTGGGGGCCAGGGATTTAGCTCCGTGGTACCACCCTTGCCTCGCAAGCGCAAAGTCCTGAGTTTGATCCCCGGTACCAAAAAAAAAAAAGTAGGCAATTTTGAAGGAAACCAGATCTCTTGTGTGTCATTATTGTTCTAAGAATCACAACACCACATCTGTCATTTCTCCATCAATCCTTTAAATTCAGATGATTAGAATGATTAAGTCCTGGATAGAGCCTTTAAAGGCTTTTAGTTCAGATAGTGAGGTGTCATGGTATATTTTTGAGTATTACTATTGAGGCATGTAGAATGTTTTCTTGTATTTATTTATTAGTATATTTCAGAACATCTTGTAACATATTGTCCATTACAAATAATTTCTAACATTGAATTGCAGTGTTGACATTCTGTCTAATAGGTTTCATCCCTGACAAGAACCTAAGAACATTTTCTGACCTAGTTTAACATTGGATCATTCAGGTATACTTGACCATTTTGTAGCGTTTTGACTAGTCAAATATTTATTTACATTACTATTTTCTTCATCATCTGAATCAAGGTCTTCATTCTGTATTTCTCTGTCATATCTGTCATATCTTGCTAACTTCTTTGGCTTACACGATCCAAGTCATCATCCATAGCAGAGTCACCTGATGACTCATTTTCAACCTCCTCCCAAAGTTGTAAAAGCAGATTTTCATGTAACATTGTACTGAATTGGGCTAATTCTTTAAGAAAAAGCAATAGAAAATATTTGATAAAAAAATTATAAATTCACAAAAATGTAACATTGCACATGACACGGGTAAAACTCAACCAATTACCCTTGGACACACGTGTATATGCCTTGCCATTGGTAGTATCAAGTGGGTGGAACACAAAGATTGCTTTGTGTATTCCCCAAGTGCAGCTACTAAGATTCACAGCTGTCTACTGTTATGCTAAAGTGCGTATTTTTATTAGAAAAGTATGGTATGGGCCTAGCCCCACCATGAATCAATCACAGACTGGATTCAGCCACCTCCAAAATAGCCTATGACCACATGAGGCTTTAGGGGAACATCTAGACACAAACCACAACAATGTTTTTTGTTTGTTTGTTTGTTTCAGTTTTGGTTTTTTGAGGCAAGGTCTCACTATGTAGTTCAGGCTGGCTTGAACTCACTATGTAGCCCAGACTGGTTTTGCCTCAGCCTCCCAAGTGCTGGGACTGCAGGTGTGCACCACCATGCTCAGCTCTCTCGGTGTTGTTTTAATTTGCATTTCTTTAATGGCCAGTGACCATTTTTTATGTATTTATTGGCTATAGGTACTTCTAAGAAGTGTCCATTCATTTCAGTTGCCCATTTTTTGATTGGATCTTTTATTTTGGGGGAAGATCTAATTTTTTTGAATTTTTTTGAGTTTTATGTTCTAGATCTTAATCTTCTGTCTGAGGAGTAGCTGGCAAATTTTTTTTCCCATTCTGTAGGTTGTCTCTTCACTTTTTGGTTGTTTCCTTTGCTTTGAAGAAGCTTTTGAATTGGCCTAATTTCATTTGGTGAGTCTTTTGTTTTTTGGGGGGTACTGGGGATCGAACTCAGGACCTTGAGCTTTTGAGGCAGGTGGCAGAACCACTGAGTTAAATCCCTGGCCCATGGTGATTCTTGATATTATTTCTTGTACTGTGTCTCTATCTTCAAGAGATTTACCTATTTAATCTTTTAGCAGATTATTTCTGTTTTAATATTTAAGTCTTTAATCCATTTGATTTTAGTTTAGTATATTGTGTGAGATATGGGTCTGGCTTCAATCTTCTGTATGTTTATAGCAATTTCTCCAGCACCATTTGCTAAAGAGGCTATCTTTCCTCTATTGTGTGTCATTTTGCCCCTTTGTCAGAGATCAGATGTCTGAATATTCCTTGGGTTGTTTCTTTGTCCTCTGTTCTGTTCCATTGACCCCTATATTTGTTTTTGTGCCATGCTGTTTTTATCATTGTAGCTTTGTAATATAACTTGAAATCCTGCTTTGCTGTTGTTACCCAGGACTGCTTTTGCTATTCTGGTTCTTTTCTGGTTCCATGAAAATTTTAGGATTGTTTTATACAGATGCGTGAAGAATATTGTTGGTATTTTTGTTAGGATTTCATTTAATCTATATATCAGTTTTGGAAGCACACTGGATGACCATTTTGACAATGTTACTTTTGCCTATCAAGAAAGAGGGGTATCTTTCCATTTTCTAATGTCTTCTTTCATCTCCTTTTTTAAACATAGTGTTGCTTTCATTGTACGGATCTTTTACATCCTTGGTTATGTTATTCTGTTTTTGTTGTTGTT